GCTTTTCGTCAATTCTTTAAGGCACCCTATACGACAGAATCTCTGCATTTAGTTCGATGGACGAAAGATTTGTTGGTGAATTAACGTTTGTGATTCTCTAGGCTGATTGATTTCTGCCAATCCAAGGGAAAAGTGATGTAAAGATTAATAAAGTATCACGGAGAGAGCAGATATAGATGTATAGAGTGATCCAAGTCAGTATTGTCCAGGGATGATGTCCTTCTACCGTTACTTGGTCGCGTGTGCTGGCATAATGCCTCCACCGTAGAATCCATAGAGGAGGGATTGCTGGCTCTGTAATCTGCGAGGTGCCTTTGTGCCCACCGAATAAAAAGATCTGTCGCGCCCTTACCGTTCAACAGAGACCATTAAATCCACGAAGCTGATTTTTCGAAATTCCCGGTTACTCTCGGGGCTAGCGATGGGCTCTTTAAATCTGCCCCGATTATACCTGAATTTTCTCCTTCTTTTGTACACTCTATAAGGATTATGTATGAACATATGCCACGCTTCTTAAGACTTTTCATTAGCCAACTTTTGCCACACGATTTTTCAAATTCTTCACGTTCGCTGTACTTGTGGTTATTAGAATTTTCTTGTAAAAGTGGAATCGTTAAAATATTGTCAGTTATTAATTCTTTTAGCTCGAAGTTCGCGACACACGTATGAAACATTTTTCATGGAAAATACTGTCTCATATTGCTATCTGAATTAATTAGCCACAAAATAAAAAAAGTTTTGTAAAGTCTGCAATATTTATTCTTATGCTGCACATTTCACATGATATTCTCTATTCTCAGACTCCTTAGGTTCAAAAACAATTGAGAGGAATCTCATAGATTTACTCTCTCTTTTTGAGATATAGAAAACAATGATATCTATAACGAAATAGTTTAAGAAAGAAGGAGATATATGCTTTGAAGATTTTGACTTTCTTTAGAAGAAATGAAAAAATTCGAAAGTTTTATCATTTTTCCATTATGCAACACATTTCACGTGAAATTCTTTATTTTCGAAAACTAATAAGTCTTATACTTTCCTCTAAAAATATAAAAAACGATGATAATTATAGCGAAATAATTGAACAAAGAAGGAAATATATTCTTTAAAACAGATGTTATAATATAAAGAATTCTTTGACGAATATTTATTATACATATGCTATACTAGGTGAAGTATTATAAATAATTATGAAATGAAGATTCAATTTCAAGATATGTATGTATATTTACGAGAAATGAAATTTTTATATACAGATATGAACAGAAAGTACATTTTCAAGTTAGCCTACGTTACATGTAATCAGCAATACATTTTTATAGTTACAGATGCATGTATCGAAGACAAGGTTATTACAAACATTTTGTCAATTTCAAAACTCCAAACGTTTTATCAACAATTTTTACATTTCTAATTGCGATGTTTTATTAGTACATAAATGAATTTTTCAAAATAATGGAGCTGAATTTAATTGAAAATCTGGGGTCCATTTCAGCTCACGGAAGTGAATATACAAACTTTTGTGCTATCAGAAGTAGCATCATGGTTCCATTTATAATCTTCGATACCTTAAAGAATTTCTTTTTTAAAATTTCCAGAAAAATCTTCCAATTTTTCGACTATAACGGCGTTCAGCTCAAAATAATTAAAGAGTTATACCAATTATTCAAGAAAATAATTCAATTTCCTCTATATAAATAACATTGTATATTTTCTAGTATTTTAATATTTTGATTAATTGTTCAATTGTACTTGGAAATCTAAAGTAATTTAAAAAAATTAAATATTTTGACGTGATCTGTATAAATAATTCTGCAATTATTGTAAGCAGCTTACGGTAACTCGTTAAAAAATATATCACACAAATAGGAATTGGACAAATTCTTTGTAACAACCTAACGCATACATATGTAATGTATATACAATTACCTTGATCGTTGAAAGATGCGTTACAGATACTTCATTAAAGATAATTAAAAGATACGACTATACAAATACAACTGTTTGCCCCTTGTAAATGAGAAATTCCTCGTCTATCTCGCAAAACATTTGTTTTATACATGTTTCAGAGATAATATTTATGACCAGTTCCGACTAGACTTCGCTTAATTAATATTCACCGCGTTTATTCGGATACGTTTATATTTTATATTTTAACAGTGTTCCATTCCCTTCATTAGGCAGTTCGGGCCATTTCTCGAATGTTACAAGCCACGGTGAACAATTATTTGACAATTTTTGCGTTTCATTAAAACGCTACATTTTGATACAACGAAGGACTTACACGTACACGACTATTTTTATGAATATACAGCAGTCACTCGATACATTTTCAGGATTTTTCACGTAAACTTAAAAAAGGTTCCTGCGCCTTTTTTATTCTTTGACTAGATTATACTCTTTTATTCTAAATAAATAGAATAAAGGATAATGTAAAACTGAAAAATAAATGGAACTAAAAGTTTTAGTATCTAATTGTGACTTAAAATGACAAACTTTTTCAATTTCTTTATTGAATTTTCAAAGTGAAGAATATTTTAATAATTTTAAGGAAATGATGCATTCGAAATTTTTTAATTAAAAAATTTTTAACTACAGTACCTAATTGTTTTATATTCGTGCTGTCATTTTAAGCCATCTTAACGTAATTAAATATGTTTTACCCTTTAACCCTTTCACAGTTTAACACTTTCGTGACCGAATTACTTTTTTCAAGAATTTCTTTTTTATTTGTCGATCATGGCTTCTGTAATCGATACTAAATTAAGATTAATTTTTTGTTCGAGTACTTAAGAAAGGATTAAAGAGTAAATAACAAACGATAGTAGCAGTGTAATGATAAGCTTCTATTCTATAATAAACAACAGTATTCTCATTGTCGTAAATAAGTTTATCGAGTGTCAATGATATTTCTCATCTATTTAGAAATCTAAGGTAATTTAAAGAAAGACTAAAAATGTTAAATATTTCAATTTAAAAAATTCCAAAATTTCTTTACGAAATTCAATGAAAATCCTATTTCTTATTATTCTCTACGATAAGCTATTCTGGAGTAAGTAACAGTATTTGCATTGTCATAAATAAGTTTATGTCAACAATATTCCTTATTTATTTGGAAATCTGAAGTAAGCAATCAAGCGGGTAATTTCAAAAATTACAAATATTAAATATTGTAGTAAAAGAAATTGAAACATTTCTTTACAAAATTCAATGAAAACTAGAAACAATTCGAGAGACATCATACTTTCATCGACTACGAATGCATTCGTAAATATTATTTTTTAGCTAGATACAATTGCTGCAATTTGATTACACTACACTTTCTGACTAGAAACTAGAACCAATTTCTCACTCTGTAAACGCGTTCAATCGTCTGCAAAATAATTTGTCCACTTGGAAAATGAAATATAACGTAACGATTCGTTGAATTTAAAAATGATTATTCTCTAGAAATACCTCGGTGTGTCTCAAATGATTCAGAACTATTAATTATTTAATTATGAAGCGTACATACACGTATATGTACCATGCGTAGTAACAATTAGAAGTATACCTATGTGATATGCGTTTACGCTGGCCCTTTCATTCGAAGTTAAATGACGAATTAAATTTCGATACTTAAAAATTACATACTTATTATTCACTCTTACGCTAAAAGTAATCAACTAACAGTTGGTAACCCTGTCGACTAGATATACACATTCCCTTAACTATCTTTGATGTTTAGCTGTATGATCACGATTCTCTGGATCGACGAGTTAAATCTACATTCTAAATACTATCTAATCCTAAAAACGCATAATTTTGCTTAAAGTAAGATGAAAGATGACGGTTTGTCGGCTTAGATAAATATTACAACAGAAATAAATTGCGAGCCGGTATATATGTACACGCACAGTCATAGTTTATGGCTGACTTCTTTCCGCTATCTACAGATTTACATCGCAACATCATATTAACCTTGATGCTTCGCTACTTCTAATTCTATGCAAATTTACAGTCCAATTCACCCTACTCGTGTCGCATCACGTTCGCGTGATATACGTAACTGTTACAGCGGCGATTATTGTCTCGAGCTTGTGAAAACCGAAACGTCGTCATTATGATTTATGCTTGCAAATGTCGTTCAGAAGATGATTTTAAAAAGGTCTTTCCAAGCGTTGCGAAAATTGTTTATTGATGATATTATGCCATTCAGTATTAATAATTTTTGAAACTTTTAAGGAATATGACACGAAATATATTGCAAAATTAAATCGAAAAAATGTTGCAAACGTCGTCATAATTTATGCTTCCAAATGTCGTTCAGATGATTTTTGAAAAAGGTATTCCCGAAAATTGTTTATTCGTGATAAATGCAATAGTATACCTGGGATCGTTATTGATAAGTTTTGTTATGAGAAAACATGACAAAATAAATATATTGCAAAATTAAATTGAAATGATATGTTATTTTCTACCTTTATCGTTTCACTAAGCATTGAAGCATGTCTCAATATACTAAAAAATTGTTTAAACTTTAGAAACCATACGAATTGAAAAGCAAGTTTTAAAGCTGCTGAATGAAAGGATTAATTGCCATCAATTTTTAACCCGGCGAATTCTCGAGACAAAATACATAACTATTTAATTTAAAAAAAAAAGATATTCTTGAGTAAAAATTTAATATCCAAGATTTCTCCTATTGCTTCCATAAGACTGTAACTGAATTAAAAAATAAGTGTTAATCTATAGATATTGACAAACCTAAATTGCACTTGTTGCATATTAAACTAAAAACAAAAAAAAGGAAAAAAATACTTCCTTCTCAAACTAATAACAAAATTCGTCAATTAAAGATTAAACTAAAACCAAAATGGAATGCAACGAAAACTAATCCTACAATTTTGATTCGAATAAAAACCATCCACCAGACATTCGATCTTTAATCTTTACAAATTAAGACCGAATCTCCAGTAGAGACCAGGTCTTCGTGGTAAGGGTCTCGCAGGGAATTGGTGTCAGGGCATCTCGGTGTTCAATGGACCATCGGAAACCAGCTGAACACCGTCGTTCTTACCAACAGCAGCTCCCTGTGTCTCCAACGCGACGTTGCTATTACCATTACTATTCGTCTCTGGATGTTGAGTAGCCAAATGCTTCCTTAGAGCAGCTTGCCTGGTGAACTTAGCGTCGCATCTGGTGCACGGTATCTCGATACTCCCATTAGAAGAAGAATACTCACCGTTAGTCAGCCTAGGTTTATGCCAGCGTCGATGAGATGCCAAATTAGCTGGACATGAGAACCTCTTATCGCATTCGGGACATCTGTATTCAACATGAGCTATCCTGGAGCACCTGTGCTGAGCCAACTGGAACGCATCTTCGTGCAATTGTCTGCAAAGCTTGCACTGATAGGGGCCCAATCTGTTCTCGATCTTCGCTAGCTCAGCTCGCGCCTCTTCGGTGACTTCAACGATGTTAAAGGCAGGATCGATGTCGCCGGTTACTACAGCCTCGTCAGGTCCCAGAATCACTGTACCTGACACAGGACTGCTGGTATCTTCATCGAACTTCAATCTTCTAGCGTGCTTCTTCTTCGGCCTCTGAAGGAGCTTCTCACTCGAGGAAGGTTTCGTAGCTGTACTACTGTTTCCTGATACTGGACTAGCATCTTCTTCCCTCACTTTCCTCCTTGGACACTGCGGAGGAGACGGTGTGCTCGGAGGAGTCATTGGCGCGTGTTGCATCCCCTGCAAGTGATGCTGAGGCGTCAGGAGCAATTGCTGGTGGTAGCCTTGCACTGACTGCATCTGACTGGGACTGGTTAACAGAAGCTTCTGATTATGCGTGTAATACTTGGTGACAATCTCGTTATTCGAAGTGAACGGTACCAGTCGAGTTGCATCGTCAAGTGCGCAAACCTTCTCCGCCGAGTCTTGACTTTGAGGAGACTCTTTCTGCGAGAGCAACTGTTCATAGCTCGAATGACTGTGCACCGAAGAGCTCCTGGGAATCGTGTCAAAATCGTCGACTACTACTGGATCAGATTCGTCACTGTTTCCTCCATACTTAACGTTCTCAGTATCTTTCTGTGGCTCGTCTAATATTCTATGATCTTTCTTCAGTTCCTGGCGATCTTCGATTTTAGGCGTGCTCGGTGCAGGTGGTGGTTTTAACGACAAGTCCAGAGGACACGGAGTGGACGATCTGGACAAGTCCCAGCTCTGAAGAGCGTGATGCTCAGGAACTCTTTGATAGCTGGAAAGATTCTCCATAGGAATGTGCCAGCTGGTAGCTGCTCCGTATGGATGCTGATGAATCTCGTCGCCATAGTAGCCTAAGTAGTTCAGCCCTGGGGCAAGAAATGCCCGTGGCAACGAATTGTGTAACATATTCGTGTTTAATAAAGGATTCTTTTTAAATGAACCTGACGTTCAATTTTTCAGTTGTTTCCATCTTTGTTGCTCCTGAGAACCACAATCTCGACGAACGTGCACAACAGAATGGGATTTTTCATTCGATGATTTTTTGACCGATATCTTTGATGACGTGTCTTGAACGATTTTTGTCACTCAGTCACAGAATGAGAAATTTTCTCGACGTTTCTCGAAGAGTGGTTCGAGAGTAACAACACTATCTTCTCCCTCAGCAGCTGAGCGCCGTTTAACCGAAGGACGCCAGAACAACGTCTGGTATATTCGAACGCTCCGCCCGGGAACGCAGTCTAGCCTCGCTTCCTATTGGTCGGCTGATCTCCAGCCCACTATCCCCCACCATAGGGCACAATTGCCACCACTTCGCTGGAATTCTGGCGCGTGCTCGTGTAAGAGCTCACCGCCCCGTCGAACCGCGTAACTAATGAATGTAGCCTGTTATGTTGCAAACGGTGCGCCGGCAAACGACATTGTTGCTGGCGATTCTTTAATAAAGAATACCATCCTCTAAGCAGATTCCTTTCCTATAGTTATTCTGTTCGTCGTTTCTTCAAGTATATAAGTATAATTTCTTAACTGCCGCTGGAGTTTTAGAGTACATTATTGATTTCAATGACGAATACCTACTTCTTTTTTAATCATACTTTCAACGAGAAGTGGTGCAATTTAAGTTGCACGATGGTAAAAGTGGATTTTAAAGGAAAAATTTCCTTCTTTTTTTGTTATGGTTTTTGGTAAAGTTGAGATGGAAATTAAATGGTTCTTGTTAGTTGAATGTTATATGCTACGTATAATACGGTATGTTTGTTGAGGTATTGAAAGAAAGGGTTAAATAGAGACGACTATACAAGTGGAGGAAGTTACCATTAGTTATGAGAAATTATGATATAACTACTGATAATTTTCACTGGAAAACAGTATTTATGAATGAAAGACAATTCGCTTTGAAGGAATAAAGCAAAAGGGTTCGATTATTCGATAATAAAATAAGATCCGATTGTTCGATTGCATGTTGTCGATTGCAGAATTGCATGTTTCATAAGTTAACTTGCCCGAAATTAGTAAAAGATGTCTCATTGGTAAATATCACTTTGTTAAAATACTTAGTGACAATTCTGAGAGTTAAATGTCAATTAAAGTTCATATTATTATTTAATGTGAGTTTGTATGTTTTAAATGGAATACCCTGTATAAAATATCCCACAGGTTTCGGTACGAACCTTAAAAATAGGACGAAAATGCCATATGAACATAAAGTAGATAAATACTTTACTAAAAAGTTGTACCAAAGAAGAAAGTATGGAGAATAACAAGATAATTGTCTTTAATTTACAATAAAATTAATAAATGATAGTGTATTTATAATAAAGTTATGTTTCATAATGTTGAAAATTGGACAAAATCACGTTTAATTTATAATAAATTTAATACTTCCTCCATATTTCTCGCTGTTATCACTTTTTAGTAGAGCATGTATGAATCTATATTTAAACGATATTTTCCTCTAATTTTTGGCCGTAGAATACATTTGCAAAGGACACGGTGTATCTCTTTTCTTTCGAATGATTTTTATGTATTCGGAATAATGAGACTAAGTTAATCGTTGGAAAAAGTGTATAGAATCGTGTGAAAATCATTTTGATTGAATCCATTAGGTATTTTTTGGACAAACGATGTTTCATATGCATCAACCTAATACTACGAATAGCATAGATACTTCTAACACCAGGATAATTAATTAATTTTTATCTTCTTAAACCAATAAACTATGCTATTCTTTGAAAAAAATTAAAGAAAGCAAGAAGGCTAGTGTTTATCGTGTTGGTTAGTGTTTTAACGTTAATTTCATTTAAAAAAGCATGTCTATGTTTAGCAAGCTTTTAAAATCAGGTGTTCCATATTACATGCAGTTACCCTATATTTGGGAAATTTTAACACATTCCACATTTAACAAATAATTTCGAAACTAATCGCAAGTTAAAAAAATTGCACCTTTCCTTCACAAAGAAATAGATCAAGAAATGGAAATAACTGTTTATGCAATTTTATTCCTGTCTTCAAATTTATAATTATCAATGAACAATTACTAACACAGAGAAAAATGTCAAAAATATAGAGAAATGTCAAAATATACCATCGAACCTAAGATATATGTACACCTAAAGGTTAATGAACGAAGCAAAAGTCTTTGCGCCAGTGATTCTGTGGCCGCATCGTAATCTCTTGATCTTCTTACTTAATTAGCAGCGGAGTATGTTCGATTAATCGTCATAAATAATTTCACGCCGTTGATGGATTCACCATGCAACGAGACCACGTTTCAACGTCGACGTCAATGGATTTACGTGTGAACGTATAGAGGCTTCAGCCGATTTCCGTAGTTAATCCTCACCCTTGGGAACCGTTCGGCCTGGACAATCGTCTACTGTAATTGGACAAGAGCCTGTTGAGGTCTCGTCAAGACGTTCGTCAAGCCAATGACAATCAACAATCAACGAAATCGTCCCTAACTTCTTCTTCTTGTTATCGGTGGATAATTTTTTTGATCAATTCCTTCAAAAACTAGACATTTAAACGTAAAGATTCCCTAAGAGTAACTAGAAGAGAAAAATAAATACAGACTTGTTTAAAATATTTTTTGATAATCAATAAAAATTACTTATGTGGTTAATATAATAATTAGAAAATGAACTGCACAAAGATTCTATTAATATTCTTATACTATTTTTAATGTACAATGTTCTGGATGCATTTGCTTAATTTTGAGAATGCTCAGAATGCTTTTTATTCTAAGATGAAAAGCTTTTACTGAGATCGCGAAATATATAGGGTGAGCCACGTGAAACAGGTCCCCTAATTATCTTCTCTAGCTATGGTGGTAGAGGAAAATTTTTATACGTATTTTAAATGGTTTCAAAGGGTTAATGAGGTGGGAGAACATTTTTTTTTAGAAATGCCATTTTTTTCTGTGTTTTTTTTTTAAATGTCCTTGTACTCGAATTACGTATTTTTAGCATGAGAGTTCGTGTACTAAATTTAAATAAATTTTACGCAAAATTATTTATTTAGGCGCTTTTCATTATTCATTCTACAAACGGTGCCGAAAAATGTTTCGATATAAATTATGAATTGAGAATACATCGTCTACTGTGTTATTTTAAACTTTTCCGTGTAAATATGAAATTCCAGAATTGAAAAAATAAACTTTTACAAAAAACCCAAAAAGCCAGAAAATAATACTTGTGTAACTTTCTTCCATTATCTATCATTTTTTTTTTCAATTTCAATTTTTAGGATGATAAAAAGTAGATAAAACAGCATCGATGCAGTGTCATCTTTAACGAGTGAGGTTACATAATACGGAACGTTGGAAACAAATGAATCGATCGTGTATTTTCGTGAAGGTAAGTTGAAAATTTCATTCCATTGGTAAAATGAAGAAAAACAAATAGCAAATGATCCATTATTACGTGCAAACATCACGTGGACTAATACCGCTTGCGGTGAACATAAAATATAGGTATTAACTTGGGATAAGTCGGTCGATACGGATTTGCCATGATTATTTGATACTCCACGAAACATTTTACCACGTGTTGCACTCTCCGCTTCCGGCCACGTATGCACCGTACGTCTGAAAACACCGTTCGATACTCGAATTACAGAGCGCTAAAACCTCGTTTCTCCATTCTCTGAATACACGAATCGGTAGCCATGCTACACACATGAAAATGTGCTTAATAACAGTTCAGCATTTTATGTTACTCACTTCGTACCAAATCCACTTTTGGATTAAATAACTTTCCTCAGAAAGGAATTTTACCCCATAATTTATTTTCACTCGTGTAGATATATTTGGAAAATTTTAACACGTTTCGTGTTTAACAAATACGGAGAATATTAACTGAATTTTTTGAAACTAATCGTTCGATAAGAAAGTGCATTTAAAAATATTAGCACTTTAAAATATTTATTTGGGAAAAATAGAGTGGTGAATTCTTGCAGTGTGCAGTTTCTTTTCTAATTGGAGATTTTTATTTTATTCTGTAATAGAACATACGAGCCGATGGGCAAAATATCTATAATTCACTATTGTTCGTGCTGTTATAGTTGAATCATTTTTTTGTCGTTATTTTGTAACATATAACAAATAAACGAGGATAATAGAAAAAAAGAAAAATTCTGAAATGAAATATTATAAATGAGCAATTTTACATGCAGACAAAATATTTTATATTTATTAACCACATAAATAATATTTGTTCATTATTGAAAAATATTTCAAATAATTCTGTATTTAGTTTTTTTCTTATACAGCCATAAGGAACTTTTATATTTAAATATCTAGTTGTTGAAATTATCTATCGATAACATACCTATCATACCTGCGCAATTAACGAAAGAAGACCTTCTATCTGCCTAACCTAACATATCCTAACCTAATAAAAATTTCATCTTTGGAAGCTGATTTTGCATGAACTGATTTCGAATTGATCACATTCTAAAGTTAACATTGTAGTTAAGTTTGTTTAAGAAACATTTAGGTGTAATTCAGTTCTATGTACGTAACACTAAAAGATTCCGAAAGATAGCATTAAGTGTCTATATATTTATTCTTGTTTGAAAATTTATGAAAATACATTGTACTAAGCGCCATCTGCCTGAGCCATCTTACAATTAGAGCCATCTATGTAAAAAATTAATGGAAACCGAAAGTTTAGCTCCACGTATGTACGTCGAAAATGGACAACCGATGAAACAAACAAAATTGATGTTCTTGCAATAGTAGCTCGTAACCTGATTAATTCTTGTACGATATACATTTCATCCATACCATATTAGTTTCCATCAAGATTTACACGGTACAGATTTTATGAATCGCGTCGCGCTTTGTCAGTGAAAAATTTTATTCTGCAATTTCGTCTTACTGCTCTACATGAAATCACCCATATAGTTACACCATGATTACTGAGACATTCGATATATTCATACCATTTTCGTTAGATATAATTTATTGTACCTGTATCCTATGTAAACCATACATATTTTACAACAATAATTGACAAAATTGTTTAAAATTAAAATACTAATCAGTAGCAACAAGTTCACCATATGAATAAAAAGTGCAAGTTACCGAAAAAGCCCTTTTCCAAACGTTGTTCTTTAATTCATACAGCATCACACACGGTTGCTCGTGAAGCACGTGGATAGGAAGAAAGCGTGGCGGAGAAGGAGGAAAGAAAGACGGAACTTCTAGGACAGACGAGCTTTTTGCCTGCACGGATGTCGACGAGTGGCTCCCGCATCCGCTGGTATGGAGGGAACGAGAGAACGGCTCTACATATTTCATGTGATTTTAATGTCTCTTCCCGGCGTATCCGCGTGCTGTGCACCAATAGCGACAGGAGTAGCAGGCCGCCGCAAGAGGCACCACTGACTGCCGTGATGCTCTAATCGGCTTAAGCAACAAGCCACCCTTATCCCAACTTCCCATCGCAGCGCCCTCGCTTCGCCTCTATACAAACGACCAAGCCCAGCCACCGCCTTCAACGACGCCCGTTACTCTACGCTTGGATTTCACCTACAATCCTCCTTCCTGCCTACTTTCGTTCCGCTTAAAATATATACGTACCTGCTCGTCTTCGTTTTTCTTTTTTCTGAAAAGTCTGTACGTCGTTGTGTCACAGTCGCCACTGTATCTTCCCTTTTTGTTCCTTTTCGGATTTGAGCTACTCTTTTCCTTCTCTCTCTTCTCCCTTTTTTACGATGAGCGGAAATATTAAGTTGCTCCTGAAACATTATGGTACAGAGAGGTTTGAAGGATTATAAGTATATTAAGTACGGCTTTTTCTGGTAAAGCATTGTGTGTGTGTATGTGTGTATGTTAGACGTATATCGGTCGACCAAGCTAACCTGGACGTTCAAAGAGAAGTTAGGATCACGAAGTAGAAGATGAACTTGTTACGTCTTCGCCGATAGACTATTGAATCACCATTGAACTCACTTTTCTATGAACAACGATAGGCGACGACAGAGCCTAGCATGAACAATCGGTAACAGATGAGTCACGTGCCGATTTTCGTGGCGCGAAAACGGTAGCTGTCGATCTGTAATGGCTCCATAAGCAATTTTTTAAAATATAGAAAACTATTTTTATTATTCAAGAATAACAAACAAATCTTTATTTTTCACTTTTCTAATTCTTAAAAAATATGAATACATTCCCTGAGGTTTCCTTTACAATAACAATTTATTGTATGTGAATCGTTTGGAAATTAACATCCGTGCTATTAAATGTTTGCCCTACGTGCTGCCACAGGTAAGAGAACAAGGCAACCAAATAATCTTTAGTTTCCTGACCTTTTATCAGCGTGCTACGTTATCGACAGCTGATTGAAAACCATTTACCTACACCGTAACTTTCCCTTAAGCGATGACAATACATACATGTAGGACTGAAGAGTAGTTAGGTATTTCCCGATTATTTAGTTAGGCGATAACGTCAGAAGCCTTAACTTTACTTTGTCTATCAGTACTTGCTATACTAGTGAAATAGCATCAGAACAATAATAACAGTTTGTTTAAAAAACAGATATTTCGATATTAATTCCACTCTTTTGCTTGCACCTATTTCAGTGTTCATAATACAACTGTTTAATTCTCTGCTACCTTAGGAGCCAACCACTCATAATACTCTCTTCAAACGAAACAATTTAGATGTGCCGACTATATGCACATATATATACATGTGTATATACATTCCATGCTACATGAGAGAACTGCCCTAGGCAAGGATACGCATTATTGGGTAGAATTACATTAAACAAACATTCAATATATCAGTCTGTTCCTCTTTACCAATGTTTTTTTTTTAAGTCAAAGTCGCGCAGATGCGTACAGTTATTCGTTTTAACATTTTATTTTCAAAAATGTGTCTATACAATAAAATTATAAAAATTCTTATAGCAACATCTCACTTATCTATTTCAAGTATCTAAATATAGTATTTATAGTTCCTAACTTTGTGTATAGATAGACAACAAATTATAAAATGTTACCGATTTCTTTTTGTTTTAACGTTTTTTGATTTTGTTTCCATGATCGGCACACTTTCGTTTTCTGTAGTTCGGTCAACATGAGCAAAGAAAAAATTTTTTGCTTTTATTGAATCTTTTGGTGCTTCCTTTCGTCTGGCCAAAGCAGCTAGTCGCGCTAGTGATTCTTGTCCTCTTGCAAGAAATGAACGTTTTTGCATAACATTCTAAAAAATTGTAATGAATTAACACAATTAATATTACATTAAATTTAATAGTTAATAAAGATAAGTTTTAAATATTTTACATGTATGCGTGAGTTCCCTTTTAATGTTGAATTATTCAACATCGCTGCAATAGTGTAGGGTACGTTCGATTCCTCTTTAGAATCAAGAGTTTCTACTAACGTGTTTTGTTTTTGGGATTCATCAATTCGTCTTTTCTTTAAGACCTTTAAACCAAATTTAAATATCTGACTACTATTTAAATCATTTTGGATGTCGGTATTTTCAGTTGCCTGTAAATTGAATACATATAAAATAAAATACCTAAATGTAAACAACTTCAATATTTTCCATTCGATCTGGTTTTATCTTACCATTTTTTCTGCTAAAAATTTTTCCCTTTCATATCTCATTTTACGCCAATTCACTTCATCTTCTTCATCTGATAAATCTACCCAACCATCTTTACCTTCTAACGGTCGGGAATCATTGTTGTCAGCTTGTTTGTCTAGCAAAAAAAAGAAAAAAAAGAAATTATGAATAATCACAATAATTAACATGACAACTTAATGTTAAGAGATTAAAAACAAGTTATACCTATATTTTTCCATTTGAACTTTCTCTCCCGTGCACTCTCACTGTACAAGTCTCCATCTTCAAATAACAATTCTTGAAGCATTCTTACTTCTTTTTTATCGTCGTCCAATAATTGCTTCATATGAAGTTTTCCTACTTGCTTTTTTACTAATGCTTCGTCGATTTCTTCATCGTCTACTTCTTCTAATTCCATTTTATCCAAATCTTCTTCATCCTCATCTGCAGATACATCACAGTCACTATCGCTAAGCTCAGCTTCCTCTTCTAAAAATGTAGCAGCATATTGCTTTATATTTTTCTTTGGAACAATTACTTCATTCTCTTCTGAATCATAATCTATATATTTTTCATTGTCATCTTCTTTGTCCTCGTCATCGCTACTCAATGCAGAACTATTTTCTTCCTCGTCATCGGTTAGATTTAGTTTTTTAACCCTTTTTGTTGGTCGTTTATTAATTTCTTTTTCTAGTAAATCTTCTTCATCAGAAGATACAACCTGTAATTTATTCCAATACGTATTCTTGTTTAATTGCTGTTCATCTATTTTAGTAGATAGTGAAACCTTTTTTTTAGGCAATTGTATGCTTTGTGGTATCTCTTTTGAGAGGTCAGTTGTTGCCTGTTCAGGATCGTTTGCTTGAGAACTAAATGTTCCTGAACACAAGTCTAATAATTGTGATTCACTTATATCAGGTTCCTTTGAAAAATTAAAACTAAGTTTATCTTCCGTAAATTTGCCTGAGGATATTGCTATCAGTTCCTCATCCAATACATCACCTTCATCGACAAATAGCTTCTTTTGAGAGATGGCTTGTCTTTTTAAATTGCATATTTGCTGAGATAGCTCTGGGGTTTGTATACTTCCTTTCAGAATGGATTCAACTTCATCAGTAAACAGTGGTTTGGCTACTTCAATTGGCTCTTTTTCTTCTTCTAAATGTACATTTAATGCTGTTAATTGCATTATAGGAGAAACCAAGTCGAAAGTGCTACTTTTAGTTATGGGCGTTTGGCTTCTCTGATGTTTTGTATTATTTTCTATATGTACTTGAAAGATTGGAATTTCACTTTTATTATTGCTAAACTGTTCATTTTCAATATATGAAAACCTTGAATCATCATCATTTAAGGGTTGCACAATTCGTTTAAATGATTTAGATTTTGAAGGTACATCATTGCTATCACAGGTGCTACTTTCATTTCCATCTTCCAAAACAAGCTTTTCACATTCTTCTTCACTTTTTTCATCTTCTTCCGAATCCTCCTGTATTTCATTTTCATTTTCATTTTCATCTTCATCTTCATCTTCATCTTCAATTTCATCACTATCGTTTATTTCATGTTCACTAACTTCAGCTTCATCTTCTATAAAGGCACTTCTTTTCTTTCTTTTTTTTTCTTTTCTTACATATACATCATTTTCTTCTAATTCGTCATCCTCACTGTTATGAGATTCTATACTTGGGGAATATGGTTCACTCAAATTATTTTCCTCACTTATGGATACATTCCACTCTATTTCTTGTTCTTTTTGTTTCCATTCTTCTTCACGTTTTAGTGCCATTTTATGTTTTAATTCTTCTTTTAAATGCATTAACTTTGCTCCAGGTTTATTTAATTTAGGATCTTCACTTACTACATTGGGTAATCTGTATGGGAGTGTTTCTTTAACGATTGATAGTCCATTTGGAGATGTTTTTATTTGTGTTGTTGTAACTTTAGGTGCATCAATAATTTGTTTATTAATTTTGGAATGTTTATGTACAAATCGATCTATTAAAGCATTTATTTCTTTCTTATTAGGATTAATATCATCTGACAAATCAATCATTGTACCTGGAGTGCCCCTTAATTTAGGTTTTAAATTTGTTATATTCAATAAAGTTTTATTTTCATCAATATTTGGTGAGTCATCGAATTTAGGAGGTGGTAAACCATACTCATTGTATTCGTCAGATTCGTCTACAGTTAATCCCAAAGACTGTTTTACAATTTTTGCATAATCATCATTAATTTTTGAAGTAGAAGCATTTGGGAGTTTATTTACAATTTCGGAATTATGCTCATCACTATTAATAGGTATATTTTCTTCCCCACATTCGTTATCGGTAACATCTTTTTGTAACAAATCATTTATTTTATCATCTTTAGTTGTTTCTGTAATTTTCGATTCAGAGACTTCATTCCTATTTTCTGTACTATTAGACTCACAGTGAGTTTCTGTTATCATTGAGACATCTACATTATTTTCTATTGAATCATGCATGGTTGCTTCATTGTTTTCAACTTCTTTTATTTCCTCTAAAATTTCTTTGTTATGTTCTGTGGACAAACTGTTAGTAATAAATAATTTTCGGGAAACAACATCCTTTTTATGGCCAGGTGTACAATTTATATTTGCAGGTTCTTTGTCTGTTCTCATAACTTCTTCTTCTTCTGAGTCTGAGGACTTATAAAATATTTCTGCTTCTTTTTCTTTTTCTTTTAAGACTTCACTATTTAATAAAAAACTTGTTATATTTCATTGTAACTATAAAAATCAATAATAATATACTTAAATAGAAGGTACTTACTCAACAATAGCAGAAGACATTTTTAATTTAGCTGCCATTGTGGGTGCTTTTGGAAGAACTGTTATCACCTTTTTTCTACTTAAAAATTCTTGCAATGTCCTTTGCTTTGGTTTATGATAAGGAAGTGAAATCTCAGCTTTTCTCATCAAACGTTGAGTTTCACTATGTATCTCTTTCATTGCTTTTTCCTTAGAGGCTCT